TAAGCATTTTGCAGTGATCCAGAGTTTGGTCTTTCTTTTTTGTAAGAGCTGGATTGTAAAAGATCTTTCTTGTAGTGAGATTTGGTGTCATGAAGACAATTTCTTGTAATCTTTAAGTTTCATGATTTTGAGATTTGATACGTTCTTGCCAAACTTATAGCACTCTCCAACCATCAATGTCGTTTTATTGCTGATTTCATTCCTTTATTACATAATCTGATAACACTTTTGGGTACAAGAAATCAAATCTTGACCTTGTTTCCAAGAATCTGATTAAAGTAAAAGTTTAAATTATGATAGAGCCTTTCATGACAGTCGCAGCTTTGCCAGTGAGCAAAACTCTCTGCTTCTCCTTATCATAATGAACCTTCAGAGAGAGAGAGAGAGGAATCACCGCGTATGCGAGGAAATCACATTGTTCATCTTGAGGCTCCAGTAATGTGCTAATGAACAATGTGCACTTCCACATACAGAGTCCTGAGTTAGCAAAAAGCCAATCAATGAGGTAAAGGAAAGACTACAGAAGTAAGAAGAGGGTTGATCAAAGCTCAATAACCTCATTGAGCCCTAATTTCGGAGCAAAGAGTCTACTGCAGAAATCATAAGCAGATCCTTGAGGAGCAGCAGCGGTAACAATCATCACTTTACCGGGGCATTTCATGATTTCATCGATTCTTGGCTGCAAATCAGTCACAGATTCCCAAGATGAAAGCACAACCTGTAATCAGATGGGATAAGAAACACTTAAAACATGAAACCAACAAAAACATTATAGGAAGTTTACAATTCTGAAATGTATAACCATGATTTGATCTGTTGAAGTTGATTTAGTAGCTCCTTTCAAGGGTTTCAAGACGAGTTTATCTGTTGTAGTTCTTATGAGATCAATAATTAGAGAACATGGAGACATCATTGGAGCTATACTCACAAGTTGTAATCACAGGGAAGTTTAGTTCGATGAAGAAAGATCCTTTGGCTTCACAATCATCCAACTTTTTAGCAGTTAGAATCCCCGAGTGAGTGAGAAACTCGACCATGTCAGAAGAACCAACCAAACCATTTGAGAAGATAGTATGAGCAGATGCTACTGTTGCATGACCACATATATCTCTGTCATACAAAGAATTCACAAGCTATGAGTATAGGGAACAAAATCAAGATTCTAACAACGAAAAAAGCATCTAGCTTTCGTTGATTATCTCATTTAAAAGCATCTCATTCAAATATTATTACTTTCGTTAATTATATATATATTTTTTTATTAATTTATATAATCTTTTTTGTTTGGCATTTCATTTTTTTATTTTTTAATTGAAATTTATATTTTTTTTTTTACGGTTTATATTCTTTCTATTTTCTATCTTAATATTTTTTATAATTAGTTTGGATTATTAAAAATTCCTTTTTCCCTAAAGTTTGGACTATTAGAAAATTTTCTATTTTTCTAATTAGTTTTAGACGATTAGAA